TTTTTGAGGAACTATGGGCCGATTTCACCAACATTAATATTATGGACCAATGGGAAAATACCTTATCGAAATGCAATTTGACAGAAGCTGTCAAAGGTCTCTGAATATTAGTGATTTCTATTGAAATATTGAATAAAATCGTGAAAATTCGACTATATTATAAACAAGACCACTTTTTGATTCCAACAAGATGCTTTTGTACAGAAAAAACAGGTCAACTTTCATGTATTTTGATATATGTTATAGGTTTACATTTAACAATCCGTTATCCCCCTCAGCGAATGGGAATGCGGCAAATAATAGGTTGATTTTCTAGCTGTTAAATTTGGACATATTTGGACGTTTGTTAATGCATGGCACTATAGAATTTACCAACTTCAATATACTGAAAGTTATCATTACATACCTGTTGAATGGTGTGGATTTGTCTGTATTTTGCAAGAAAATAGAATATAAAATACACTCCATCCAATTCCTCGTCTTCCTTTACGTCATAATAGTAATCGTTTATTAATTTATGGGATAATGAATTTCTTCAAAGCAATAAAAACATTATGTCCTCTCCATCCTAAAACATAGATAATATGTGTAAGACGTGTCAATCCCTACATCTCCCTGATGTATAATGCAATTACTATGGACGTAGACAAAAAATTATGAAAAATGTTTCACAAATAATTTCTTTTAAGTCCAAAAATCATCAAAAGTAGTAATGTTTATTGTTTGTGTTTTTGACTGGCGGTCGTTGACTCGCGGGGATATCTATCTGTCACTCGAGGGTTGCCAAGTCTAACGACGATCACGTCCCGTGGTGGAGGGTGCGAAATGAATCTTTTACATTTGCTGGTTTTGCATTTTTTTCGTGAAGATTTACTAGGTATCATGATTATAAGCATCTTTGGTAGAGTGTTCGATCCGGAATGGGAAAGTTCTCCTATTTATGAAAATATTTTTGGTATCATCTAACCGTTGCAATCAGTGCACAAACACTGTGACATATGATTTATACTTACAGCATAACCCGCTGCCCTATCAATACAAATTTAACATACAGATCGCCTAGCCGTGGGGATGCAGTGGTCGGGATGAATATCACGGCAACAACTGATGATTTGGGCATGTCTGGTAAGAACGTATGAAGTGAAACTCGCTAACTTCAGAAATTTGAAGATTTTGTAAAATTTCTTTGAAAATGATGAAAGATATGTCTGACTTGACAGGGTAATGTCGCAGCCAAATGGCAGTCACTCTTTCTGACACAGTGCGGATCGAAAGATGACGATACTAGTGAAATGTATTGATACTTCTAAATATATGATCTGATCGAACATCCCTACTGTCAAGATGTATAACCCAAGGTACCGACGGAGCTATTTTGCGGCGTCATGGAAATAATTTTAAATTTTCATTTGCATTTTTTCAAGTGTTGTGCAATGATTTTGGGAAAAATAATGTCACGAATAGTCTTATAAAGCATAGTAAAGTATATTTCAACAGTTGGCGGAACTTACTCCACTGGGACCAGGAGGGTGAAACGGGATATTAATGCACAATCTGGCAACCCTGTCGCACCCTCCTAAAATGGCCGCTGACAACCACACAAGTCACCGTGTTGTGACACTCCTTGAAATGCAATAATCAGCTGTATTCAAATAATGTCTAATATAAATATAACCTAGAATGTGGACTCGTGAAAAAAGAAAAATATGACAAATTTGTAGTTTTTTTTGCAGGTTTTATAGGTTTGCTGGTAGCTTTAAGGCATATATTTGAGAATTACTTAATCGCTGTGACTATAGTTTGGATATTTGTTCAGTTCCTGAACAGCGAAAAATATTCAACTTTATGGATGTATGGATATCAAAAAACCTGAATGGTTTTGTGGGAATATCAATCTAAGGTGCCATAATGGTTCTGATGAACGGCAAGTAAATGAGTGAATGTTTGGAAACGAGCAATATCTTGTGGTAGACTCTGTCATCAAGTAGGTGCTTAATGGCTATCTGCAAGAGGTTTATAGGAAAAAACACCCAGTATCACATATCAATTGAAGAAAATAATATAAACATGAATAAAAAATCAACAATAGTAATTAAAGCATGAATTTAATTCAAAAATCAAACATTTCTTAAAATTTTGACTGAATTATATGTAATGTCTTAATATTCAATAAGCTGGTAAGGTTTCAATGACAAGTTTTCATCTCATACTTTGACAGTATCTTTTTTTCAACATTTCATAGCTATTGGTCTCTATCGAAGCCAAACGTTAATGTATGTGGAGTGTACCCTGTGGTTTCACTAATAGTGTTATTCATTCCCCAGACAACTTCTGTCAGTTTCTCAAACCATTCGTTTTCATCTTGTATACTTGTATATGTACCGTCTAAAAGAGTACGGTTATAGCGTTCCACCTGACCGTTGGAGCATGGTGAAGCTACAGCATTCAAAACCAATTTAATTTTTCTTTGATCGCAAAACTGTTTAAAGGTTTTAGATTTAAACGCCTTGCCAACATCTGCAATGATTCTTTGTGGTGTCCAAACATACTAAATAAATCTTTTAAACAATAAATTACTTCTTTTGAGTTTGTTGTCTTAGTTGGTCTAGCAAATAATTATTTATAAAATGAATCGACAATCATAAAACTGTAAGCATAATTTTTATTTTTTTACAGAAAAGTTCTAAATGATCAATATGCCATGTGAGAGGGGTTCCTTTAGTTTACGTTTCAGATGAAGTAAACCTTCTTTTCTACCGTACTGACTTTTTTATATGCACAATCAATACAGATTTAAACGCCTTGCCAAGATCTGCAATGATTCTTTGTGGTGTCAAACATACTAAATAAATCTTTTAAACAATAAATTACTTCTTTTGAGTTTGTTGTCTTAGTTGGTCTAGCAAATAATTATTTATAAAATGAATCGACAATCATAAAACTGTAAGCATAATTTTTATTTTTTTACAGAAAAGTTCTAAATGATCAATATGCCATGTGAGAGGGGTTCCTTTAGTTTACGTTTCAGATGAAGTAAACCTTCTTTTCTACCGTACTGACTTTTTTATATGCACAATCAATACAGACATAAACATATATGTTTATAAAGCGCGTCATTTTTGGTAACCAGAATTTAATTTTTACCAAAGCTTCACATCGTTTCAAACCGATATGACCTGTTCCGTCATGGAATTTTCTCATTATATTAAACTTGCGCATTTTCAGAATTACAAGCCTTAATTCCCCATTTAATATTTTTCTGTAAACCGCATCGTGTTTAACCCAAATACCCCTGAAACTCTTAATGCTTGTTTTTTCTTATATACTTTTGTAAACCTATTAATTGGGTTAATATAAACATATTTTCCTAGTAAAATTTTTTAGTTCCGCTTTTAGTTTTTTCTGTATAAGCCGTCGGTTTAAACGTACGGTAGCAATATAAGGTACTAAAACACAATATTCTTATGAACTTATAAAACTTTATTTAGAAACGAAAAAAATTTTTTAAACCAATAATAATAGATTAGTTTTTAGTATGGTAACTTAAAAAACACATTTTTGGATGAAGTGCAACATCACACTTCTGGGATCTGAATGCTGCTTGTTTGTGGCAAAATGCGCAGCTGGTTTGCTTTTCCTGATAATTCAAAAGATGATCCATCCGATCATATCTGGACTCATAATGCAGGTATTTGCCTGGTTTAGATGGCCCCCGTTTTGTTTCTTTCTTATAAGTTTCTAATAATCCCGCAGCAATACACCTCCTAAACTGCAAATGGTCCATTTTTCCGCCAGAATGTTTATGAAGTTGCCATGCGCTTTGTTCTGCCATATTCAGAGCTTGTGAAAACAAGCAAAAATACCACTTCTTTCCCCTGATTCCTACGCGGTAAAGGCTTATATTTTGGTCAGCCCTATCAACACTGCCCATGTTTTCATTGTATTGTTTGATCAAACATGGCTGCTCAACATGTATCATTTTCTTTTCTTTCTGAGAGAAGCGTTTGACTTGTTGTGTCGGAAAAGGAGATGTTACATTTGAGGCGATTGTAACTACACTATTGTCATTCCATTTACATACAATATTATTTTGGTTCTCCTCCAAAAGATAATCAAAACTACCACGGGATTTATTCTTGAACATACTGGATTTTTCAAGAGGGCAATCTGATAGTCTGTTTTCTCGCAGAGTTCCTGTGGATTTGAGCCCCCTGGAGGTCAGCTCAGCCAACAGAGGTAATGATGTAAAAAAATTGTCACAAAAGATATGGAAAGGAGCTTTTTCACATTGAGACTGAATAATATCAGCAAACTGAAGTACAACACTAGCCCCTAAGCCAAGAGGACTATATTTTTCAGAAATAATAGTTGTGGACCCTTGATACGGCTCAAACCATTCAATGTACCCCTTTTTAGTTGTTCCCATCCATACCTTATAACCCCAACGAATGGGCTTTCCTCGGATGAACTGTTTTGATCCATGACCGCCGTAATAGGGTACCATCGACTCGTCCACGCTAAAACAAGGGCCTCAGTTTCGAAAACTTATCGGTATTTTCAAGATTGTTGTTATCATCCAGGTGCAAATTCTGCATTATAAAGCTAAAGCGATCTCGAGAAAGCGCCGAATAGACTAACTTATTTCCTGCGTCACTGTTATATTCCCAATACATTGACCGTCGAGGAAATGAGTTGTATCCAGAGAGCAGTAATACACCAATGAAACATTTTATTTCACTGGAATGTATATCACCTCGGCGATTATGCTGAATAGCATATATATTGGAATATTTCACAACCAAGTCAATAATTTCGTCATCTATAAACTGAAAAAATAGTTCTAAAGGAGATAAAGAATTTTTTGGACCAGTTGCGTTTACCCATTCTGGAAAATCTTGATGCCACCTTTTTTCCAAGAGTAATTTGGTTTTGATAATTTTGGTCGTTTTTTCGTAAGAAAGGTAGACAAAGGTAGGTCATCGTCGCTATCAAAATCACTCTCAACTGTAGTTGTTGTTTTCAAATACAACCTCAACTTCGATCAGCTGACTTCCATATTCATTTGCGTTAACTGGCTTTAGAACGGCAATAGTATCAAGAATCAACTCATCGTCATCAATGTTTTCAATTTCTGCCATGAGTTCATGAAGTTTCAAGGCCCGCTTCCAATAGTTCCAATAACTGCAAATATAAGAAAACAAAATCGAAGAATACCGGATTTTCCTACTGTCCGTTAAAACGAACATCGGTATTTGAGGTTATATTTTTGCCGGTGAGATGCAAATTTTTAACTTATTTATTTACAATTATAAAGATTGATGTTTTCTAAAATTACTTATTCACAAGTTGGAAAAATAATATGAATAGTTTATCAGTATACTCACCTATAATTATCCATTGTTCACAACAAACTAAGCACCTGTTATTCCAAACACTTTCTCGCATACAGAACTCTCCCTTTAAGAGGTTAGAACAATAAATCTCGCTTAAACACGTGTTTCTAACAGCGGATAACCCAACGCCATCTAACGCGGAGTGACAGAGTTTCAAATTTGAAGCGAAATATTAGGTGATTGTTATAACGGACGGTAGGGGTATCTGGGTTAAGACAATATGTGACTTTTATTTCTTCATCGGCTTAGCCTGTTTTTAATTTTTAACGAATTATTCGAACTTGTTCATCTTGCATCTGTACTAATGCCCAATCGTCAATATTGATTTTTAAAATATTCTCTCATAATCTTGTATAGCTAGCCACCAACGGGCTATTCTAGCTACTAATTCCTTCTTTACAAATGTACTTCGTACTGCACTACAATCTGTGACAATTTTAAAATGGGTACCATGAAGATAGAGTCTAAATCGTCATATGAACTGGACTACTGCTAAGGTTTACAATTCATATGAATGGTACTATAATAAGCTATTGGTTTTAAACCGTCATTTGATTCTTGTAGAAGGATACCTGCAATACCTTTTGAGCTAGCATCAGTGTGTAGTTTTTTTTGGTATTCTGGATTGTAAATTGCTAAAACAGGTTTATTCATTAAGATTGACTTTGAACATTTGAAACCGCCTCATATTGACTTTTACCCCATTCCCAATTCACATCTTTTCTCAGCAATTTTGTTAATGATGCAACTATTTCCGCATGATTTTTTGATAAATTTTCTAAAATACGAACTGAGATCTAAAAATTGTCTTATTTCATGAACATTTGAAGGGATCTTAAAGTCCTGAATAGCTTTTACCTTTTTTGAACCGGGTTTTATTCCATTTTCACTAATTTCGTAGCCTAGAATATCAATTTTCGTTTTGAAAGAATAACATTTTTCGAAGTTTAATTTCAAATTGTTTTTGTGGCATATGTTTAGAATAGTATTTAGTTTTTCCATGCCTTGCGATATGGATTTCGATTTCGTCAAGATAAATTAATATTTCCGAATAACGTAACAGTTCCATAATATTATTTACCAATCTTTGAAAGGCTGCGGCAGCATTGCATAAACCATATGGTAAGCGAAGACACTCATGTTGCCCTTCCGAAGTTATAAACGCGGTTTTATCAATTGAGTCCTTTGTCAGCGGTAGTTGATAATAACCTCGCTCCATATCGAGACTACAAAAATATTTGTTTCCGCCCAATTTATTTATGAGATCTTCGATATTTGGTAATGGGTAGCGATCTTTTACAGTAATAGCATTTAGTTTTCTATAATCTACGCATTATTGTTTTTTCGTTTTCTGATAACCTATACGGTTTATAATATACAGTTTGTTTTGAATTTAAGGTTATAGAGAATTTAGTATTAATTATTTCGCCTGGCTCGGCTGTTGATTGCGCAAAACATGCCTAGTTTAGATCTAATAGTCGCAAGAATTAACCAACATCGCCATGTTTTATGAGATAAATGTCTAAGCTGCTTAATTATTCGACATGTAGGGCACTGTTATTTTTGATAGTTTGATATGGTAATCTTATTAGGTTTAATTTCTAACATTATGTCGGGTTGACTCAGTATAGGCTGTCCTATAATTACATCAATATCATTCATGAGTGTATTGACTATTATGATTTCTGTAAACATTTGTATCTCATCAATTGAAATATCAGTTCTAACTATACCTCTCGGTACTATCACTAGAACTTTCATATTTGCAACATTTATTGAACGTCCGTATCTAAATACCCTCTAAACGGGATATTATTTATAATGGCCTTGAACTTGTATAAATCATTGTGTACTTGCCCTAAAGTGTTAACTTCTACGTCCTTCTTCTTGTGCCAGCAATCTTCTCCATAGTGCCCCGTTTTTCGCAAACATTTCACCGTTTGATGTCTTGTCTTTGGGTTGATCCCGCTTGCCGTTTGAAGCAATCTTTTGTGGCATGGTTGGTCAGGCGGCAAACTGAGCATCGCGAAGGTCCTGGTCCTCTGTGCTTCGAAGTCGATGGTGTATCCCGGTTCCAACAATCCTTGGCATAATGGCCCAACTTCCCACAAACGAAGCATTAAATTTTAGGTCTTTTTCCAACTTGATGCTGTATCGCGTCCTTGTTAATGCTCTGGTAGTTATCTATAGGGGCGACAAATCCTGCGCACAGCTGGTCTGGAGTGGTGCATTGAAATGCGCGGGCGTTTCGCTGCAATTCCTGGGGTAGCCCTCGAATTATGCAGAATATTGTGGCTTCATTGTCTAGGCGACATTGCTGCGTCAAATTTATTTTTGCATGATAATAATCTTTTTTCGGGCGACTAGTTCTTCTAATAAAGTTGCAAAGTCAACACATCTGGGAAACGCTTGGGATAACGCTGTCTTCCATTCTGTCTAAGTTCTATCGTAGTCATCTAAACAAAAAAACCACTCACATGCTGCATCCTTTAACTTCATTTGCATATATGCAGATTTTTCATTAGCAGTCCATCCATGGATCAGGGATAGTTGATCGATTTTATTAAGTCATGTTACCACAGTGTGATGCTGATCATCTGGGTGAAATGGTGGAATTATATCACTTTTAACTTTTCTCGTGCTTCCGTGCTAGCAGCATTGTTCTGATTGAAGTTTAAGTTTCCTAAATCTGGTAAAATCGATGTACTAGGATTAGCATCGAATTTTCTTTTTATCGCAGCCGTAATTTGTCTTTGTATATGTTTTTCGATTAAATCATAGATTTGATTTTGACGCGATTCGTTATCGCCTTCCCCGATCTCACTCATTTTAGTTCACAGAAGTCACTGTAACTTTTTAAATAGCTGAAATACAGTCCTGTTGATCCCACTTCTGACCTAATACGGGCGTGTGGAATAAACACCGGTTTTTCCCGTTGAGCAGCTTTATTCGCTATACCCGGTATGACTGCCTATTCAAGACTTCCCGCCCTTCCTTCTTTTTTCACCTTGAGTCGGTCGTCAATGCTTAGTCACCTTTCTAACCTAAACAATTCTGGCTATATCATAAGACACATCACTTTAACAATCTCAGCGGTTCCTTATAAAAATACAAATGCACACATTATTTAATATTAATTGGAAATACACTAATAATAACATGCTTAGGTGTGAAAAGAATGATAACCAACAAATAACTTATTTATCAATAATAACACTTCCCAACACCCAATCAACATAATATTACAAACAATAATTACATCATATTTAAAATATTCCACTCAGGGTGATATAAAACCAGGGTCTCAACAAAACATTTGAAGAGTAGAACACTAAAAGCTTATCAGTTTAGTTATATAATAATGTTTTAACGACTTTTAAAGGAAACTGAAAAGCTTCACTGACTTGTATAATACAGAGTTATTAATGTGACATTGACTGCTACACCAATTTTTTGAAGTTACTTACTACAACTTTTTTCTTTGTACACGAATACTTTTTGGCAAATTTGCAAGCATTGATCTTTTCCCTTAAACGAGTGTTCTTGAATATGAGTAGCAGATAATGTAGTGGAAGACTGTGAGACATAATGCGTAGACCTAAAACATAGATAGGAATATTGATAAACTAACTGATCATGAAACATTCTCATCTGACAAGACCCTAATTATATAGTTACAAAACATGTTAAGCAATTTATATTCGAATTAGGGAATAAATGTTCCTGTCAGATAAGTATGATCCTAAACCATTTAGGTTCATTTGTATTCAAAATATGTCTATCTAGATATTTTTTTAGTTGCACAGTGCAAGTATTATATATCTAAATGTGATAATAATATACATAATTTTTAGTATTAATGCTGAATTAATACTTGAAATTCCACATTTCATTTTTCAGAATATCAATCCTATTAGCCATATTCTGCAACTCTGGAGCCGATATTGCAGATTTTCAGCTAGTGATTCTGAATCTCACTGTTGGGAATAGATTTTGATTTGTTCTGAATGCTCATTAAGTGTAGCTCGTGTGTTGTTTGTGTTGATGCTGAACGCAACTGCAGACTATTGAAAAATCGTTCTGTGGTGATGATGTGGAACTAGGGAGGATTTGTGGGAGTTGTTATATTTGTTGGTTCATTTATTTTTACCGAATTGCGGTGTAAACGAACCAGCTGCAGGACAAGATAAGGCCCAGTTTACATATTCGTCTTGTTTTTATCTAAGATGTTTGGATGCCAATTCTTATATCATTCTCATTTTGTTTCATTCTTTTTTTCAAAGGCCTGTGGTATGTGGGTGGAGCTTGAGCGCCGTCATAAATCTAAAATCCTGAAAGAGAAATTGTACATAATTTTAATATATATATATAAAGAAAATTAGCATGCGGAGAAAGGTATATAACAAAAATAGGAAAATAATGGGCAAAATCCGCAAAAAGTGGATTCGAGCAGAAAATAGGATAGGTAACCCGAGCGATACGTATTTCTGCTAGTTGGCTCCACCAGGCCCGAAATGATTGCACATATGTAACTACAAAAGTAGATACACATGCTGACACATCCGGATGAGGAAACAATGATGGAGAGGGAAAAAGTCACACACGATGTCCACAACAAGAGCCAACCTACACACTGTAGTATAATAATAATAATAATAATAATAATAATAATAAATGGCCTTTATTCGTCACACGATTACAAAATAATTGGTTTAAAAGGAACAGTGACGAAAAGGTGGAGTGTCAGCTTATGCTGTTTTTCAACCCGACCTCACAACATTGACCACCAAAAAAAGAAAAAACTTAGAATATAACACTTATCAGAGAAAGGAAACAATCAATTACCTGTGGATATGCATAAAGTAAAATTTTAGCCATCCGACTGCTTTAAACTCATCTTTAACCTTTTTTTAAAATTGCTTAGGCTATATTCTTTATACTCACTTGATAAGCAGTTACATAAGTATAAAATGGCTAGAAGACCTCAAATTTTCAAGACGACGTCTAGCCACAACCACGCGGCCGGTTATAGCCACTTGCTGTGGTACTTCAAGCAAAGAGGATCTACAAAGACAAAATAATCATGCGGAGAAATGTACG